TCTCTGTGCTTGTACATTTTCATTTATGGGGAGATGATTACAATGCACGACTGCAAGTACTGTGAGGAGGAAATCGGATGCCCCTATTAGCATATTAGCATTGAAACATATAAGTATGGCTTTGACTGAGTAAAGGATTATCATTTGTACTTGTAGGACGGATTGGGTCAACTTTGCTATTCTATATTCAGTTGGTTGGGCTGGATTCAAGTTGCAGTAAGATTCAGGTTACGCAAATTCATACCAAATCTGACTACATAACTATTATATTTGGTTCTATGAGTGTTTATTAGAAGAAATACCACTACATCAATGCCACCTAGGCATTGGCTTTTATTGTGCATAAAATCATTATTTGGTTTTAATTATATTTATGAACATGAGGTGTTGGGAAAACTTCAAATTTTGGTTTGAAGTATATGTGTATTTCCGGTATCCTAGATTTTTCTCTACTTGAAACTGGAACCTATTTACCGAAAAAAAAAAAAAAAAAAAAAAAAAACCTTAAGAGTTGTCAAAGGGCAAATGCCACCACGTCCACTAATCCAGGGTGAGGCAGCTCAAACTCACATTACTTGACATTGTTTTTTTATTTTTTAATTATTTGGCATTATATAGGTGGAGATGCTTGAAACATGAGTAATTATGTTTTAGATTCAATTTATGATATCTCTGAACTCGACTATTTGCATCCAATTCTGTGTCACTAACATCATTAAAATTTGGATAAATAATCATTTGATTCCAGCATGAATTTTGAAACAATGCAAATACAAATAAATATGTATTATGTATGGTACAAATACAAAGTTTAGAAATATCTTAGCCAAGGTTTTGCATTAAATATATTTATATTTGCACTCCAAATTAAGCCCAAAAACTAGGGCAAGAACAGAATGCGATTACAATTCCACATCTATATATAATCTACACAACATAGCAATCAAGGCAATTGTGCATTGCATATATATATATATATATATATATATATATATATATATAATTGTAGGTAGCCTAACCCCCCAATCCTAGTGCAGGTCATGCTTGGCTCAACTAGGGGAGGATTCGAGCCAAGCCAAGCCGAATATTTGAGTATTCGAGCTCAACTTGGTAGAAAAATTCAAGGTTCAAGCTCGGGCTCGAGCTCGATTCAAAATGGAAATATAAACTCGAATTCGGCTTGGTTGCATGATTCATATGTTTGAGCTCGATAAGTGAACAGTTCTCTTTTCTTGGGCACCAATTGAATTTACGCATGAAGCAAAACACCACTCCTAATCCTCCAAAGTATCAATGCTCAATGGTGAACTCTCGAATACCACAAATTGAATCTTTGCAAGAAACAACAGAATACGTCTAATGGGTACAACATCCTTCAGCCATTGCCGTTGGAGGTAGGCCAAAGGCTGAAACAGCAAGGGTATTTACAAATTCCAAATCTTTTTTTTTCCTACATAGTCTCCATAATAATAGTTGAAAAAGCAAGGATATTTACAATTTCCAAATCTCTACTAATTTTTGTATTGAATTGGGGGGTGTTACCTTTGATTTCCAATTACTCTTGTTTCCTTATGGGGTGGTAGTCTTTATTGTCCACGAGTGAACCCAAAATGGTTCTTCAAGTCCCAACTGTAAAAAAATAAGAAAAGAAAAAAAAAATCATCCACAGGTTCACACAACGAGAAGAAGGAGGAGGAGGAGGAGGAGGAGAAGTCTTGTACCTTAAATCTCTATTAAACAACTTCCTTAGGTTGAATCTATGTTGAACAAGCTTTGTAGCTTAAATAGAGAAGAAGAATGAGTGTCATCGTCTATTCATGTCGTATTTATATTGTCTTCGACGGAATAAAGCATCAGAGTTTGGATTTGGAGTATGCACTTGCAATCGTATGTGATTGTTATTGTGAGAGCTGAGAGGTGAGAGTTTGAGAGATGAGAAGCTTGATCGAATTAAGGTCTTCTCGATTTCCCTCTCTTTGGTAACTGAGACAAAACCATCCTGTAGCGGGGACCATGAATGTAGTTTGTACCTCACCAGTGGAATTCATTAAAATAGTATAATAATATATATAAATTTAAATATATACTTAATATATATAAGCTCTAAAGCTCGTGAGCCTAGGGAGCCGAATTTCAAAATGTTCGAGTTTGACTCAATTTACATACGAACTATATATAAAGCTCAATTTGGGTCGAGCTGAGTCAAGTTTTTCACAAATCAAGCTCGAACAGCTCATGAATAGCTCAACTTGTGTCCACCCGTAGGCTCAACTTTCATTTTTACTCATTCTTTTCCATAACAGAATTTTAGAATGGGCAAAAATGGGTACAAATGGGAAGAATGAGTGTAAACATCAAAATTTTCACGAGCTTTCAAATGGGCCCTACTCCCCATTGGCCTCAGTGTGGATCCTTCTATTTGGATCTTGTTCCATTCTCTTAAATATGTGCATGGGCCTTAACGTTTTGGCTTTGTTTTTGCAAATCCATTAACACAATGGGAGGGTCTATTGAAATGTGAATTACAAGTTTTAATGCTTTATGGAAGAAATAATCCAATTAGAGTTCACTTCACGATGGAAATCTAGTCAACGATTAAAGAGAGAATAATTGATTGAAAAATCATTCTCTCCATAAATGGCAAATTGTCAACCTTTTTATAAAAAATGTAACTAGAGATAAGATGAACTAATCAAATCCTCAATCAAGAGGAGGAAAGAAATTAAACCAAGAAATCTATAAAATAGGGGTTCCTATCAAGATGGATGAGACTTTTGGTCAAAGAGGTAAACTATGTGAAATAAGAAGTCTTGAGAAGAATAAAGCACATACACTAAAGAGTAAAACCACAATACCTTTGAAGTCTAGCAGAATCATTCTTTTGATCAAGCTTTCAAAGCCAATTAAAGAAAGTAATATTCACCATTCTCTAAAGTACATAAACACGTCATCCAACCCTCGACTGCAATTTAAATGCAAATATTCAAGTTGTAAGAAGTACTTCATCAAGAGAAAAATCGGAACTGCTATCTATTTTGTAGGAGAATTCAAATACAATGAGTTGTATCCCATTTACCTTAAATATAAGAAAATTAATTTATTTGAATATTTTTCATTTTTTTGTGTTTGGATTTAAACACAAAGTTTGTGTTGACAATGAGAAAATGTTGCTACACACCAATTTTTTTTCCAAAAAAGTGAATTCCTTTTATGGCAAGAATGAAAATAAATTTTGAATACGTTTGATTACAAACATATAGTGGAAACACGTAAGACCCACCACACCAACAAAACACAAATCAACCATGTGACCCGGTATCAATAACACAAATGGTTTGTATTACTTACATAGCAATGGAAACTGCCTAGAAAATTTAATAGCATGGGCCCATGTTATTTTATTTGGAAAATATCCCTAGAACTTTATATTAAGCTTTTAGAAAGAAATAGTGTTTGAATTTCAGATCTACCAAACAGTGTTTGGTATCGGCATAATGACAAAGAGAGAACAATGGCATTCGAGCTTTTTCATCTGAAATGGCATGTTGATTGAACATAGTTGTTGCTTGCAATTTACTAAGGACAAGAATGATATTTTCATTTTGTTTTTTGGTAGATCAAAAATGTCAATTTTCATTTTGTTTTTTGAAGATCAAAAATATCAATTTTCACTTCTATCTAATGAAAAGTAAATATTTTGCAAAGTATATGTTAATTATAAGGTATGTTTTAGTAAATTCATAAAACTACAAGGGTGTTTTACTAAATGACCCTTAAATTTAAAAATACTAAGGCTATGTTTGGTTTAAAGGAAAAAATAGAGAAAGGAAGAAAAAGGTAGGGAAACCTTTACAAATCTTGTATGAGTTTCTTTACTTTTCCTTTCCTTTCCTTTTCCTACTTTTTCCTTCAAACCAAACACATACTAAAAGGAAAAACATAATGGAATGAGAGGAGAGAGGAGTCCATCCAATGAATTAGTAAATAAGGCAAATATATAACCCATTTTTTTAATTTTCCTATAATCTTCAAGAGGCACTTAATGATATATATATTCTATCACGGGTTTCTTTATAGCAAAATAAATGCTGGCATATCCTTAAAATAATTTCTACATTCAATACCTATTTATTCATTAGTCTAAGAATTGATTGTCTCATAAATATGCATTAATATTTTCCTCAAAATAAGTAAGAATCCGTTTGGTTTTCGAGAATAGAGTCTAGAATCGGAACATTCTAATTCCAAACCGAAATCCTATTCCAATTCCGTCAGCTGGACGGAATGGCATTTCCTCAATAAATGGCCATTCCCTCCCCTTTTATTAGGAATGAAAATCCATTCCAGCCAGTTATGATTTTCATCTGAACCAAATAAATAAGAAAATAGAGAATCTGATTGGATCCCAATTCCAACTGTAAACCAAATCGACCCTAACACATTAAATTCAATATTATTAACATTTTTCCCTACTCCTCAGCTTTAAAGCTCCGTCCTGGTTTTTCTACATCTTTTATGGTGGATACGATCCTTTTTTTTACCTCCAATGCCCATGCCGCAATTGAATAGATAAGAGTTATGGGTTCTAGAAGCATGCGGTCTTCTTCATTGCAAAATGACAGAACACAGAACCACCGATATCGTGCATTAGGGTCCAACTTGGGCGGATACGGGTTGAGCATTTCTTCAGTTATGAACCGACCCCATGGGTGCAGTCAAGTGCACCGTTTATTACTTCATCTCTAGGCTTTACTTGCAAATAAATGAGACAGCTTTACTTGCAGTGTTGAACCACTGCTAGCTTGGCTTTGGGGCCACGGTACATGTTCAAGCAAGCAGATGACCCATTTCCCAAAGGATTGATAAAAACGTTACGTCCATATTCAGAATGAGAGAGGCCAGGTTGCTAAGCTGTATCCCACAAAACTGTCTTGTGATTTAATTTGCCGTTTCCGTATCCATCCAAAATTGAATATTTATTTGTTTCTGTCATTTGTCACTTGCCCTAAAAGCAAATCAATCACAGTAATACAAAGGAAAATTCATTCAATCCGCCATTAATTAAGGAATAGACATGGCCGAGGTCGTACTACAGTCTTAAGGTATATATTTGTTTTTGTGTATTTTCCTCTATCATTGTTAGGAGCCACCATATTCTCCATTCCAAGGTTCTCTGCAAAAAGAGGTATTCTTTCTGCTCTTCTCTTGGTGCTTTTATAAATGTATAGAAATGATCAATCGCACTCCATTGTTGAATCTTGATGGTTTATTCATTCTAGACTTGTAGTCCAATTCTAATCGGATTGATCCCGTATAATTTCTGTTGGATATGTATCATGTACCTCAACTCGTCCTAGATAGTGGCCCACCACACCAAGGACACTTACCTGGATGAACGGATACATTCCTTCCATCCAGATACCAGATACATTCCTTTTTTTATGTTAAAAAAGGGGCTGTTTGGTATGATGGTGTTGTCTTGCCTCGTGGGTTCATTAACATAAATCTGTATGAGAGAAATTTTTTGAATACTGATTAATACAAATTGATACTCTTTATTTAAAACGTCAAATTTAAAGTTTCTCAGATCATGAAATTTTTTAGTTCAAATGTCATATGTGATGTAACAATACATACATCCTTGCTCTGCTTTTTCCTTGGGAGAAGGCCAAGGGAACTCCAAACAAGGCTTTTCTTTTCTCAAATAGATAAAGGAACATAATAGAGATAAGGGTATAATATTTTTGTCCTGTCCTTTTTCTCATGCCTTGACTGTTAAGGTGTCCCTACTCTAAGTAGACGAGTGTTTCCCTCGGCCCTTCATCAAGTGTGCAAGTTAGGATTAAGATATCCAATTCAACTATATTTATATGTTGGGATGGACAAACTTTAAGAAAAAATCCAAGTTTCGTCAAGCCCTTCACATTTATACCTAAGGGGGTGTTTTTTTTTTGAATTCTGAGAGGGGGGAAATTGGTCAATGGGATTTTGGTTTTCATTGATGAAAAAACTCGTTTTTTTTTTTTAGATTTATTTGGGGACCAGAGAAAGTTTATTTTCTTGGGTATCACTTATTCGAGTAAGTGATACCCATCTCTTAGGTGGGTAAATAACTTTCCCACTTAGGGGAAAGTTGCCAATACTTGAATGGAATAAAAATGGTCATTTTTAATAATTAAATTTTATAGATAAAATAATTATTGCCTTATTTACATGAGAAATAAAAAAACATGGATAAATGCACTTGGGAAAGATTTATCCAAGTAAGTGCATTTACTCGGATAAATAACTTACTGAAAAGCGAATGAGGCCTAAAAGCAACTCATTCTATAGGCTCCATTTGGAAGGAGTACAAATACAAGCTCTACATAATTGTATTTGTACTCCTTACAAACTGAGCCAAAGGAAAATGGAAGCACTCTCTACATAGGGCTGTAAACGAATTGGATTTTCAGTTATATTTACATCCACATCCAATAGTAAATCTTTTGGATAGGATTTAGATTTAATTAACAACCATCTTATTGTATTTAAAATGATGAAAGTTTTAAAAATAAAATAGCTAATTATTTTTAACTTTATATATATATATATATATAAATTAAATTTGCATCCAATTCGATTATTAATTGAACACAAGTTATAACATCGAAATGCAAGATAATCAAATTAGAAGTTGTATCGGATATTAGACTTTCAAAATCCATTAACAGCCCTACCCCTATGAGTCACCAGTGGTCCAACATATATATAGCTGAAGAGATAGCCAGTCATGTGGGGTGTTAGATCAGAATATCATAATGGTTTTTATTTTTTTTAATAGATAAAATATTAGAATGGTTGATCTAAAAGTTCAGGTCTCAAACATCCCTCCTTCCAATTCCTATTAACCATGGGTCACTGTTTTTGTGAAAGTGTGGTTGAACCCAAATTTTACAGCAAGCCCTTCAAGAACAAGATTCAATATGAGCCGTTCTCATCTGCCACATAGCCATTAATTTGGCGCAGTAAGCTAATGGATGCCTAACTCATACCAATGACCCAATCATGTCTCTTTTTCGATTTCTTATATGTCATTTACTTAGACAGCCTATATAGCTTCACATATTTATTAAAATGTATCCTCTAATTTATATATTACTAACACACCCCCTTAATACCCTTAATTTGCAATTGTTTTACTTATTCAATTTTCTGCTAGGAACTGTTTGTATTTCCATTTGGGAATAGCCATTTGAGCTCTTAAAATTAGTGAAAAAATGCGGGAGGACATGAACCCAAGTTCTTTATTCCAAAACAATAGCCTTAAAAGTTCTCACATTACACATAGTCCACTCCTTTTCCAAATACAGTTATAAGGTCGGGATATGGTTTATTTGTTTCTCGAAAAGGTTGATAAGAAATTTATTAAGGTTATTTTTTGAATGAAAACCTTGGACCAATATTCCTTTATATTTTGAACTTGCCTTAAGAGGTCATATCGCCATTCCAAGATGAAAACACAAATGGTTTTTGATTGATGGTCAATTAAATAAAGCATATACAAATTATAAGGGTGTTTTAATAATATTCAAAATAGAGGATAGGTTTTAGAAACCATAGGGGTGTCTAAGAAAATGACATTTTTTTTTTAGATATTGCCTTTAAAGATTGAAATTGAATTTCAAGTCATAAAGAGACACCAATTTTGCAGAATAGTAAACAAGGAGTGCATGAAAGTCTTGGGTACCTTACTCATGCCTAATTTTGTTTTATAATGTTTTGTTGGGCAAGACATCCAGTTTACTAGTAATCCCTCTTTATTTGTTTGTTTATAGATTTGATTATTTGACTAAGGAGTCCAGACTAGCTACAAACAAAGTTTTGTACAATGGGCTACAAAATCAATCAACACGTCAATGTTCTGTACATACTGAAGACATTAATTTGTTCGTAGCTTACATGAAACCTTTTACCATAGAGACTGCCTTAGTGTCTTATAGGTAGGTTTTGCTTGTCTTTAATTAGGAACATCTTGGCCAAGCTTTTGCTATAATGATTGGTGGAAATTGTTTCTTAGGCTCAGTTTGGTAAGAGTACAAATGCATACAAAATAATATAAAATACAAGGTTTTACATTCTATATATATGTATTTATACTTCTTCCAAACTGAGCCTAAAATAACTGTGTTTCTTTCTTTCCATTGGCCCACAATATGAAGATATTTTTCCCAATAGTCCTCTGGATACAATTTTTTTAAGGGAATCTCAACCACCATTCTTGAATCTAGAATTCAGTCCCTAACCGGTATCTTCTATAGAACCCCATGCCTCGAACAATTTCTAGTTTCTACACCTTATTCTTCTTATTCAAAAAGACATATTTAGAGTCATTGTTGATTAAACGTCTTTATCACTCTGAATCTGAAACGTCAAATTGAGAAGCCATAGTTGGCATTTGATAGGTGTGATTTACAAATTTACAATTGAGACGAATAGGCATTTGGGTCAATGAGGACAGTAGAAAACCTAATTCTTAAATAGTTGGAGGAGAACTGATTTCTATTGGTGGATGGAGACCCTAGCTCTTTCTTGACCTACCAACATATTTGGACAAAAATTCCATGACAATGCCACGGGCCAGATATTACAAGACCGCTGATGGGCGTAGTAGGAGTAGGACCCCAGATGCAGGTGTAATTGACCATCCATCCTCCAGTTGCCATGAAGGGATTGAAAGACGTCTATGGCCTACAAACACTTTTTACTTCCAAAGCGTAGTGGGTTCTTTGAGCTTGGGTTTGGCCATATTTTTCCTTTTAAGCCCTCAACCACTTAACCTAGCAACATTCGTTACTTAGTTAATGTAATGTTTAATAATGGGTAATTTTTCATGGGGTCGAACCCTTCTTTTTTTTTTTTTTCATAATTAGCATGTAGGCCTGCCTACCTGGATGAATAAATTAATGAGGGGCTGTTTGATAATGATTCATGTGGTTAGTGATCAAATCATTCTCATGGGTTAAACTCAGGCAGTGTTTGGTCTGAGATATTCTCTAAACTGCATCAAACTGGACTGCGAACACCCCTACTTTTCAGGCACGGTGGTCGTTCGATTGTACCTTCGAAGTTCGAACATCGCCACTGAACACAGGATGTAACTTTGAATTCTTCAAATGGTGAGTTACCTCTGTGCCTTCGGAGGTAGTGCACGAAATATTTTTTCTTGTGTTGTCCCTATAAAAATTCAAAAAAATTCAAAATTACTCGTGTTCTTCCAACCCAACCTTAAAAACCCTTTTTCGTTTTTTACCATTCTTCCTCCATTATAGAATGCAGCAGGCTAGAGGTGTAAATCGGGCAATGCTAGGATAGCATGGCATGACTTTGCGAGCCACCCGTGCTTTAGCGGTTCATTCCGTGATGCCCTACGGGCCTATCGGGGCGATGACGGCCTCCTCTAGAATCCTTAATAGGTCAGGCCTAGCACGACCCATGGCATGAGCCCAGGTGGACCCAAGTCGGGTTGTGTCATGCCACAGGCCTGGCCCAAGCCATCAGAGGCATATTATTTTTAATTTTGAAAAGAAAATAAAATTTTTAAAATAAATTAATAAAATAGATAAAAAAATTGAAAAAAAATCTTAAAATTTTATTTTATATGAATTTTGATGTATATAATTATTTATATATGAAATAATAAAATGAAATTAAAAAATTACAATACAAAAGAAATAAAATAGTATAAGAAATTGAATATATATATATATATTTATTTATTTATAATATTTTTTACTGTTTTGTCATTTTATGTTATTTTTTATTTATATTGATATTATTTATTGATTTTTATCATATTTTTTATTTTTTATTTTTTCATAATATTTTTATAATATCCTATTACTTCAATCATTTTCATATACTTTTATTTAATCCTTTTCCTCTAAATGCTTTTAGATCTTTTTCCAAGGTTTTTTTTTTTTTTTGCTTCTCAGATTTCAAACTTTAAATTAAATGCCACCTCAGTCTCAGTTAGGTCAAGTTGAGGTCAACCTTAACCCAATTTGTTGAACCTTCAATCATGACCCTCAAGGGTGGTGGATACAAGCTGAGCCAAGCCGAATAATATTAGATAATTTGAGTAGACAAAAAGCATAAGGCTCGAATTTGGACTTAAGTTATGACTTGAACTAACTCAACTCAAAA